CATGTCTGGGTCCCACCCTATGCCCACTCTCACCCAGTGTCCAGTTTCCAGGCATGGAGAGACTTACCCAAAACACCATGACAAGGTCAAACTCCTTCCCTGCCTCTATCACGTGGATCTTCAGTGACTGCTTGTTCTGGATGTTGAGCTCAGGGACTGGCAAGAGGCCAGCTCTTTAAGATTATGGTCTCCCTCACTCCCCCTCCCTGCATCCCCCATCATGCTTTGTATTTCTTACAGGACTGGGGCACCAGGTGTGTGATGATGTAATACACAGTCAGCGGGTAGGTGAGAAGCACGGCCATGGGGGAGTCGAGACTGAGGCCTCGCCAGGTGTAGTAATCCTGCCATTTGCCTGGAGAGAGTGGGTTACTAGAGGACCTCTCTGGTATAATGGCCTCCCTTTTCCTCAGTCACTGAGGCTTCTAGCCCTCCAGTCCCTGTCTCAATTCCTACCTCCCTCAGGGTCCCTCCAGCTCACCAAAGGGGCCCCTGGGTGGGTCCGAGGGCACTGGAGGCATCAGGGCAGCCCCATCCCCTTGGAGAAGTTGGTATGGATCTCCTGAGGGATTGAAAGAGAGGAGGAGCTTGGGGTTAGAAAACCCCCACTCAACCCACCCCTCTCTTCCTTCTAGAGGAGCCGTGTTTCCTGAGAGGGCTGGGAGCTGCAGGAGGCGGTGTGGGGGCTTGCTTACAAACAGGACTACTGGATGGGAAGGTAGAGTGACTCCTTTGAGGGCTGAGGAAAGGCTTGAAATGGCCCTGATGGTGTTGGTAGGGATTTGGCTTGTATATGAAGGGGTTATCTGGGACTTAGACAGCTTTTTCCCCCTAATCCTTCCTTACAGGCCACGGGAGCCATGCCTAAAATGGGGCTTACGTACCACTGAAAAGGCTGAGGGATGGCATGCTGCCCCCGGGGTTCCTAGGGGTGCCAGGCACTGGGATTAGCATGCTGAGCTGGGTCCAGTAGCCACGAGTGAGTCCTCGAGAAGCTAGGAAGGCTTCCTTGTTAAAGGTTTCACTGGTCACCTCTGGAGGAGGGGAAGGGTTGAGGGTCAAGTGGCTGGGCCCCAAGATTTACTTCCTCTCAACCTCCCCAATGCCCTGTGACTCAGTCTGGGTCTTGTCAGAGCGAATCACCGTTTTTGAGGGTCCACAGGCACTGAGCCTATTTGACCATTGTAACAATTTTACATTTTGTTTTTTTTTTTTTTTTTTTTTTTTTTTTTTACAGTTGAGGATCCAATTAGTAAAATGACTGATGTGTTTAAGACACACAGGCAGTTAGTTGCAGAGCTGGGAAGCAAGCATCTGAATCCCTAGCTCAAGTACCCTAAGTGCTCTTAAAAGCCAGCTATCCAGTCTTCCACATCAGAGACCCCCTCTCCAGCCTGAGAGGCTTAGCTGCCAGTTCCAAACATGCAGGACCAAACCCTAATTCCTGGCATCTAAACTCCACCCAGACTCTTTGCCTTCAGTCCCAGGACCTTGTCCCCAGGAACCCAGGCCCCTGTTTTAAAGACCTGACCCCAGTGTTCCCCTACTCCAACCTACATCTTTATGGTACCTGTGGTATATGTAAAAGGCAGGGTTGCCAGTTCCCCTGCCCGCTCCATGAAAGTTGCAAGCTTTGGGCACCAAAATCGGTGGCTCACATCATCTGGGCATCGCCGCCAGTCAGCCCGGAGACAAGCCTCTCCACAGTACAGGACAGCACCGCACTGGGGGCTGGAGGAAAGACAGTGTTAATCTCTGTAAGGTCTATTCACTGTCCACCTGCCTCAAAGCTGCCACTTGTCACTTTTCCTGTTTGTCTTAGTACCCTGTAATCACCTGTAATAGCTTATATGTTGATTCTTCCATCTCCATCTTATATCCCTTGCCCTCTGTCTGTCTGTGGGGTCTCCCACTGGCCTGGCTGGCTTTTGCTCTGTTTGCCTGACTGTTGGGATCTTTTTGATTCCATCTCTGTGGACTGCTTACCAGGGTGCCAGCTTCACTTCAAAGCTGTGCCTGTGACACACATGGCAGGTTCGAGCTCGAAGAGAGGCAAAGGTGAAGCCTGGCTCAGGACCCCATGTGCGCATTGGTGTCTTTGTTAACTTCACTCTCAGTCTTGAAACCAGGCTTTCCAGCTCTCTGAATGGGGGTGGAGATGGCATCAGTGTGGACGTGCTTGGGAGTCCAGGCCCCAGGCATCCCCACCCTTGATACCAGGGTTTCTGTACCGATGCAGCTGGGCATCTCCAACAGTAAGCTGTCGGGGCTTTCGGGGGTCCCCAGAGCCCATGGGGCAGGCCATGCTGTGGCAGAGGAGAGTATAGGCCCGAGGAGCCAGGTTCTTGGTTCCTGAGCCTTGGTCTGCACTTCCCTGGGCTCTATCCATTAGCAGATCAATGCCCAAGATGGTACCATTTTCATCTGTCACCAGTAAAAGGCAGGAGAGGTGCAAAGGGCCAGCCTCTGGTTTGGAGGAAAGAGGAGGGAATAAGGATGGTTGCAGGCATGGAACTCAAATGCTCACAGGGGATAGGCAAGAAACCTCAGCAAGTAAAGGGACTAGTAGAGGGAGCATCTCTGGTGCTGCTATCCAATACCAGAATTTGCTGCATGCAGAAATGTAGATGAGATTTCAGAACTTTAGATTTTTCTTTTTTTGGTTTTTGAGACAGGTTCTTACTAGGTAGTTGAGACTGACCTGGAATTCACTATGTAGCCCAGGCTGGTCTCGAACTCACAGCGATCCTCCTACCTCAGCCTCCTGAGTGCTGGGATTACAGGCATGCACCACCATGCCCGGCTTAGATTTTTCTTGAGAAGGCATAAAAACCCAGACTTTTGGATTTTCCTTCCTTCCTTTCTTCTGTGGTACTGAACAAGGAACCCAGGGCTGTCACACTGAGCTACATTCCCAGCCTTTATTTATGTATTTATTCATTCATTGAGACAGAGTCTTAGTAAGTTAATAAGTTGTCCAGGGTGGGCTCAAAAATGTGATTCTCTTGCCTTAGATTCCCAGAGTGCCAGTATTATAGGCATGTGACACCATGCTTAGCTGTTTTTCAATGTTAAAACACTGATTCAAGGGCTGGGGGTTTGGCTCAGTGGTTCCACCGCCTGCCTCACAAGCACAAAGGCCTGAATTCAATCCCTGGTACCAAAATTATAAATAAATAAATAAATAAATAAATAAATAAATAAATAGACTCAATTTAAAAAACAAATATTGATCCAGATCTGGGAGTGCACACCTATAAGCCCAGCACTCAGGAGGCTGAGGCAGGAGGATCACCATGATTTAGAGGCCAGCCTTGGTAACATAGCAAGATTCTGTCTCAAAAAAACAAACAAATAAACCCAAAATAACCCCCAAGCCCAAAATAGTCAATAAAAACACCTTTTTGGGCCAGGTTGGCCTGAAAGCTACCACTCTGTTATTCCTAGCTGGGTTCTGAGTAGCAGGGGAGGGATTTAGGACGATGGCTGGGCAGGAGGTAGGGCCTTCCCTGGGTTCTTACCGCTCCTCTGTTCCCTCTTCTCCTGTGCCATTTCATTCTCCCCTCTGTCCTCTGGGCAGCCATCCTCACCACCTGCTTCCTGCTCAGCCGCCCCTGGCTCCAGTGGAGGCTTTGCTTCCTGGGGGGATTCCCTGCTGGTAGAAGCTGGCTCCCCATCCTCCTGCAGTTCAACCTTCTCTGTGCTTTTTGTCTCCTCTCCATTCCCTTCTTCATCTTCCTCCTCCTGCTCCACTTCCTCCCCGTCCTCTAGGCTGACAAAGCTGACATAGGGGCTCAGGTCTTGAAGGTGGAGCGGAGGCTCATCTCCCAGAAGCCTGGCAACCCCCAGGCCAGATCCAGGCCCTGGCTCTGCTCCTTGTCCCAGGCTGATACCCACACTATGGTTGGGCAGGACATGAAGCACCCAAAGGACAGGGTCCTGGGGTAGCCTTTTGATCTGAGCTTCCAGCTGTCGCCAATGGCCCTCAAGGCCAGCCCCCACTGGTCCTCGCTCTGCCACAAACTTGTGAAACCAGCCAAAGAGGAGAGCAGCAAAATCAAGGAACTCATCCCGGTATCCAGACACAAATTCCATGTCTTCAGGGGCACAAGGTCTGGAACCAGACTGAACAGAGGAAGGGATACATGGTGAGGTGCAGGGTAGTGGGGAGAAAGTTTGGGTCTGGGTCACTAAATAAGACAGGATGTGTGGGGTCGAGGGTCACTTAGGGCGGGCTATGGAAGTATTGGGAGCTGAGAAGAGGGTTTCCGGATGAAGATAGAAGTTTGCGGGTTAAGGATGGAGGTCTGGGTTGGAAAGTGAGTGAAGGGTTGAAGATGAGTATTCAGGGATGAAATGATATATTTGGGCTTAAAATTTGAGCACTCAAATCTCTTAAAAGTAGGGGTTGACTTAAGTAGGAGTTGATGAGGTAGGGTTAATCCTATGGAGAAGAGGGCTGGTGAGGAGGGAAGAGTTTTGGATCCCTAGGTCTATGGGGTATGGGAAGAGGGAACAGGAGCTCGGGTCGGCTTGGGCGAACTGCAGGAGGATGAACCCCTCCCGTGCCTCACTCCTCCGGTACCTGCAGCGAGCGGCCACCACTTTCGAAGGTAAATACCTCGGGGCGCCGTGACGTTAAGGCCCG